ATGGCGAGGTTGATTTTCCATGGCGGGTCACGCTGGGAGTCCTACGAGAAGTACAAGAAGCGCCAGCACGGTTTGCTCGGAATATCTGAAGGAGAAGAGGAGGGTAACCTATCTTTCAGTCACCTCGGGCCAGTCGACACATTTTCCAGTCAATTTGTTTATTCTGAAAAAGCCGACAACATCTGCACTAGGATGACTGGGAGCTCCGTCTTTTTCGTGGTCTCGGTGCTATTCACGTTGCTGAACCTGCTATGGATCGGCATCAGCACGGAGCTTGGCGAGTTCAACCAGAGTTTGTGGAATCGGGGCACAGAGTCCATTATAATCGAGCATATCTTCACGCTTTACAGCATTGTCGAGATCGTGCTCCAAGTCATGAGCATGAAGCACAGGTCAAAGTGCTTTTTCAGTCCCTGGTTCCGCCTTGACGCAGCGTGCACTGTTGCAATCGTGCTGGAGGTTCTCGTGGCCCCCCACGTGCCAGCCGCCGCAGGTTCCCTGCTCGCCTACCAGGTGCTGCGACTGACGAGGCTGGCGTGGCTGCTCAAGTTGACGCGCGCAAGGCGGGCCGTGGGGACTATTCTGAACGAGATGGCCAGTGGCATGCGCTCGGCGGCTGACATCTGGATCCTTATCGCCGTCCTCCTGTACACCTGTGGCGTGCTGCTCACCGCTGCCAGCCATCGCAGCGAGCATCTGAGGGAGCGGTACTTCGGGTCTGTGGGTCACACGATCTTGTCGCTGCTTTCCCACGGCGTTGCCATGGACGGTCTTAGTGAATTCTTCAACGACTTGCGTGCTCATCACGCGATCTTCGAAGCGTCGGTGTTTGCCACGTTCGTGTTTCTGACCTATTTCGGGCTGTTGAACATGCTTGTTGGTGTTTTTTTGTAGCGTCGCCATTGAAACAGCGAAGCACGATAAGGACATAGAGGAGATTGCTTACCTCGAGCGCCATCTTGAGGGGGTCGTCAAGTGTTACATGGATGACAACGGTGACTGGCATATTAATGGTGCTACGTTCCAGCTGATCATGCAGAACGCCGACGTGCTAGAATCTCTTCGAGATTGTGGGACCGACGTCGACGGGCTCTTGATGTTGACCGAGGTCTTGTTTCCTACTGAAGCCTCCGTGATTACATATCAAGAGTTTGTCTCTGTCATCGTGCGCCTCCGTAAGGGTAAGCCCGTGAGCATCTCTGAGGTCATCGGGCTTCAGGAGTTCATGAAACAGAAGATGGATCAGCTCGATGAGAGTATTCGAGACGGAATGCAATTGGAGAGCAGAGCGGCGTCAAGGGTTGGCAGCGTCGTTGACGCAGATAGAGTGCGTCGCAGGGTCACGCAGTTGACCGCAGAGGTACGCCCCGAGGATCGAATTCTCCAGGCTAGACATTCTGGGAAATCTCCACAATCACCGCTAGTCGAGCCTCAGTCCCAGGCAGACAAGATACGCAAGAATTGGATCAGCAAATTGGGAGGATCTGGGCAGCGCTCCTTCTGAGGCCCTCCGAGCGCCCACCCACGCATATCACGGGAATGCGCCGCAGCGGTATCCCGTCCTTTCTCCTTCTCCTCTCGCTTTTCCTGTCGCTCCACCACCAGCTAGCCAGCCAGCCAGCCGTGTGGCCTAGGCACTACTTTCAATGCCAGCTGATGTCGTATCAGCAATCTCAATCTGAATGCTGGTGTAGAGGATTGGCACCAAAGAGTGCATCGGACTTTCGGCAGTCCCCTTGCGCGCCCACCAGGTCGCGAGTAAGGTTTTTCGCCGAACAGCTTGCTGAACGGAGTGCTGTTGTGATAGAAGCTAATGAAAATTGGATGGTCCAGGACGTTTCGCTTGAGACATCCTCACAACTCTCGTTTCTGAGCTGGCTGGGATTGGCCATTTCGCCTGAGACATCCTCGAACAGTTGCGCTCCGGGACGCCGCGCGAGAGGTGGTCCAGGCCGTTTTGCTTGAGACATCCTCGAAACTCTGAGCCCCGAGGTGCCGTGCGAGAGGTTGTCCGGCCCGTCTCGCCTGAGACATCCTCGCAATTCTGAGCTCTGAGATGCCGCGCGCAAGGTGGTGCGGCCTGTTTCGCACAGGACCTTCTCGCAACTCTGAGCTTCCAGATGCCGCGCAAGAGGTGGTCCAGCCTGGGGGCCCAGAAGACCACATGTTACATATCCTCCCTGGGACCCTGGGAGCCCCCTGAGACATCCTCGAACTTGTGAGCTCTGAGATACCCTGCGCGAGGTGGTCCGGCCCGTCTCGCCTGAGACATCCTCGCAACTCTGAGCTCTGAGATGCCGTACGCACGGTGGTCCGGCCTGTTTCGCATAAGACACTCGTGCTTTCTGAGCTCCCAGATGCCGCGCAAAAGGTGGTCCAGCCTGGGGGTCCAGAAGACCACATGTTACATATCCTCCTTGGGACCCTGGGAGCCCCAGGAGGCCCCAGAGAGCTCCAGGAGGCCGCAGGACGCCCAGGACAGGCCCCAGGTGTCCCCGGAAGATTCCCAGGAGGCTCCGAGGAGGCCCCAGGAGGCCCCCTATCAGAACGTGTCAAGTTAATCTTCTTGCACAGGGTGTCTAGAGCTCCGACCACTTTGTTCCGCGTCGCACACCCCCTCCTCTCCGCGTCCCCAGCGCCAGAGTGGGGCCGACCCCCGCGCCGTGGCTCTCTGCCCCGAGCTCCCCCGCCCCAGCGCCCCAGCGGGGCCCCCGCCCACTGCCCCCTCCGCCACGAACGCTTTATTCCGCGTCGCACCCCCCCCCTCCCCCCGCGTCCCCAGCGCCACTTCACGCGCTTTTGGACTTAGGCACTTACTAACTGACTTATAGAGGGTTACATGTTAAGTACTTATAACCAGTTAGCATGAGTAGTTACAACTACTTAACTAAATCGAAAGTTAAGTGTAAGTTAAGTCAAAGTTAAGTGTTATGTTGGTGGTGTCGTCGGTGGAGCTCCCTGTGTGTGGCGAAGTAAGCGCGGCGACGCCATGCGACCACTCTGCGGGGCCCTCGGTGAAGCTCCCGAGGGGCAGCGAAACGTGTAACGGGAGTGCCGAACCAGGCGCCGAGTTATAAGTTAAGTCAGGGTTAAGTGTTACGTTGGCGGTGTCGTCGGTGGAGCTCCCTGTGCGTGGCGAAATAAGCGCGGCGACGCCGTGCGACCACTCTGCGGGGCCCTCGGCGAAGCTCTCAAGGGGCAGCGAAACGTGCAACGGGAGTGCCGGACCAGGCGCGGCGAAGCCATGCGAACATGCCCTATAATGGGGCCCTCGATGGAATTCCCCCCTGGGGCAACGAAGCATGCGCCGAGCTACGCCGAAACGGGCGCGGCGACGCCATGCGACAACACCCTGGAACCCTGGGCGGCGCCCGCCGGAGGAAGGAGGGCGGGGGAAAGAATGGCGGGTGGACGAGGGAGGAAGAGGGCAGGAACGAGGAGGACCGTGGTCGGAGGAAGGATGAGGAAGAGACGGAATCAGCACCAGACTAACATTTCGCATTATCGCCCTCCTCCTCCTCCTCCTATTCATACTCATTATCCTCCTTGTCATCCTTCTCCTCCTCACCTGTTCTCCTCCTCCTCCCTCTCCTCCTCTTCCCTTCCCTCCGTGTTTCAGTCAGACAATCAAGGATCTCTTCGAGCTCATGATCCGTGAGCGGCGGGCCTGGGCACAGTCAATTATAGAGCATCTCTTCGAGCTCTTGGTCCGTGAGCGGCGGCCTAGGCACAGGCTCGGTGGGGCGAAACGAATGAAAGGAGACCTCGACCTCCTCCTGTGGAAACACATAGTAGCCTAGACTAGAGAGCCAACTAACCGAGAGGACGCCGCGAGGGACTACGGTCCCAGGGCTCCTCAATCCGTTCGCTCGGTATCCCTATCGAAAACCACCCCCGCAACAGCAAAAGTTACGTTTAACACTTCCCCCATCCTCGATCATCGACCCCCCATCCCCTCCCCTCCAACCGCTCGAAATGGTGATCTCGAGAGTTCCCCCGCTCGGCGGATACAAGTGGAGGGAGGGGGCGGGCGGGGGGCCCGCGCGCCGTGGCTTTCTGCCACGAGCCCCCCTGCGCCCCCAGCGCCCCAGCGGGGACCCCGCCCAGTGCCCTCTCCGCCACCAGTGCTTTATTCCGCGTCGCCCCCCCCTCCCCCCCGCCGCGTCCCCGGCGCCAGGGTGGGACCCCCGCGCCGTGGCTCTCTGCCCCGAACTCCAGCGCGCCCCCAGCGCCCCAGCAGGGGCCCCGCCCACTGCCCCCCCCCGCCACGAACGCTTTATTCCCCGTCGCACACCCCCCCTCCCCCCGCGTCCCCGGCGCCAGAGTGGGACCCCCGCGCCGTCGCTCTCTGCCCCGAGCCTTCCCGCGTCCCCAGCGCCCCCGCGGGGGCTCCGCCCACTGCCCCCTCCTGCCACTACTACTGCTACTACGATTGATAGTACTACCACCTAGTACTACTACTATTACTTTTACTACTAGGACGGTTATTATTACTAGGAAAAAACTACCACCACTACGACTACCAGTAGTATTTGTTCATACTACTATTGCTGTTATTACTACTACTACTACTAATACTACTACTACTACTACTACTACTACTACTAGTAGTACTGCTACTGCTACTGCTACTGCTACTGCTACTGCTACTGCTACTGCTACTGCTACTGCTACTACTAGTTCTGCGATAGCGACGGGGACAATTTCTGTGACTACGATTACGGCTACGCCGGCGACGACTACTAGTTCTACTACTATTACTACTACTACTACTACTACTACTACTACTACTACTGCTACTGCTACTGCTACTGCTACTGCTACTGCTACTGCTACTGCTACTGCTACTGCTACTACTACTACTACTACTACTACTACTACTACTACTACTGCTACTGCTACTACTACTACTACTACTACTACTACTACTACTACTACTACTACTACGACTACGACTACGACTACGACTACGACTACGACTACCACTACTTACTACTTCTGTTACCATCACTACTCCACTTACTTTCACGACTACCCATGCTACTGCTACTACCACTACTCATACTGCTGCTATTACTACAACTACGACTACCACTACCACTAGTTATACTCGACGGACGAGTACGACTGCGACTACGACTACCTAATATGTATACTGCCACTAGTATTAAAACTACTCGTGCATTTATTATGTGTACTACGAATGTGTCTCCTACCGTTTGTATGACCACACTACTCTTACGGATCCCAGTGCGACGACGACGATGACGACCACGACTACTTCTATTGACACGTCTACTATTATGTTTACCAGTACTTCTAATATACATATAACGGCGCACCGGGTCCGGGGGCCCGGGGCCGGGACCCCGACCACAAATGTGGGCCCCGGGGGGCCCGGAGGCTCGTCGGACCGCCGGACGCCGTCCAAGATCGTTCGCAGGCGGCTTCGGAACGCGTTCCAATGGCTCCAGATGCCTTCCAAGACGCCTGTCATGACACCAAGAAGGTCCCAGAAGCCTCCAAGACGCTCCGAGAGGCAGCCCAAGAGAGGCCCAAGAAGCAAAAATCGTGTCATTCCTATGGGAAAACGTATATTTTTCGCATGTTCGCCTCTTGGGCTTTCGCCGCGTCCAAGACGGCCCAAGAGGCGCCCAAGACCGCCCCAAGACGGCCCAAGAAGCTTCCAAGAGGGCCCCAGGACAGCCCAAGAGGGCCCCAAGACGGCCCAAGAGGCGCCCAAGATGGCCCAAGAGGGCCCCAAGACGGGCCCAAGAGGGGGCCCAGAGGGGGACCACGAACCGCAAGCTCGAGCCTTCCGCCCCAAGAGGCCGCCAGGAGGCCCCAAGGAGGCCCCTCAAGAGGCCCCAGGAGACCCCCAAGAGGCCCAAAGGAGGCCCCGAGAAGCCCCAAATCGGCCCCCAAAATGCTTCGAACCTGCTTCCAGGAGGCCCCCGACAGGTTCAGAGGCTCCCGAGAAGCTACGTCAAACTCCCAGCGAGCGGCCGGACGAGGCCCCCCACAAAATCACAAGAGGGTTCCAGTATTTGTATCCTTCAGCGCTCTCTGGCCTTCTTCCCCCTGCCCCCTTCCCTGCGACTTGGCTCCGGATGCCTTCCAAGACGCCTGTCATGACACCAAGACGGTCCCAGGAGCCTCCAAGATGTCTCAAGATACGGCGCTAGTTCCGCAGCTACTGCGGGATTAAGCTCTGTTGCCCCTTCTCTGCTTGGCAGTCTTAGCTGCGCCTCGCGCGCGTGCGCGCGTCGTCGCAGCGCTTTGTGTCTGTTCCGTGGATCCAGGTGACGGACTCTACACGGGCGGTCCTCCTCCTCCTCCTCCTCCTCCGCCATTTTGATCGTTATATCTCCCTGCGCTCGCAGGGCAAGTGCACGATGTGCGCGCGGCTCGCGGCGCGGGATTCCTCCGCGCAGGCACCCGCGAGGCGGTGTCGAGGCGTGGGCCAGCGCGCTGGTCGCCCATGGCGCGGCCCGCGGGCCTCGC